GGGGCGATTGTCTGTCTGGAGTGGAACATGATTGCTAAGATCAGAAGCTATTTTTGACCTTCGCGGAAGTGTGTCAATTCCGGCAGGCATGTGGTGTGATAAAAATGCTTTTAAAGCAATTTCTAACATCACCAGAAAGCAACGTCACCGACCACTGTCCCCAGACTTCAAGCCTGCGCTGAATGCGAGACCAGCTTGTGGCCATCATAAGTACTGCAACTTTCTCCTCGTTTTGTCCAGCAAAGAGTGACGTTGGGTCAAGTCAGGACCGGCCGTGTCCTATTGGGCGGCAGTCTCAGCTGTGAGCGATACACTCATACATAGTCAAACTTCCGGGATTTCCGAAAGTCGCAGTTCCTCTACAAGAATGACGTCAGAACGAGATCATGTACCGTCTCTCCGCACAACGGACACACACGCTCAATAAAATGATGAGGTGGTGCGTCGTGTGATTTCAGAGGAGGAAAAAGGTCAGCTGACTGACCGTCATTTCATGACAAATAATTATGTCTGTCTCGTTTTGCTAGCCCACAAATCATTGGTCCGCGCCATCTCTTCGACTTCTCGAGAGCTCCGTATGGGCGTTTGTCACGTCGAGCTTGGCACTTGAAATACGCCTCTTTCTCGGGACCGTTCATGGCGTGGAAAATGTCAGATAATTTCGCTCCGCCTCTTCTCATCATGACTCAGCGTGAGGCTCCTCCTTGATCCCCTGCTCTAACCGCTTCTTCTCAATGAGTTCCCGCAGCTGTTTCATCTCCTCCTGCAGACTGGTCAGCTCGTCCCTCAGCTTACTGTTTTCACTCTCCAAGTAATCGGATTTGGCCTCCCTGAGTTTTGTCAACGCTTTCCTATTTTCCCGACACTTCCTTGCCGCCTCGTTGTTGCGTCGTCTTCGCTCCAGGTACTTGGGGTCCATATACTTGGTCTCGTTGCTGTTCCGTCTCAAAGCAGAGCGGCTGGAGGACTCTTTCCTTTGTCTGCCGTAGTGCGAGGGGGCGGGAGGGTTCTCGGATTTCACCAGTGACAGTGGGTTTGTCTGGGAGAGAGCCATGTCCGACAGGTGGGCCAGGCCGTTCATGAATGGGTGAGTTGGGAAAGAGGGCTGGGCTGCGGAGACCGCAGCTGTCGCCGCCATACTGGGGAACATCTCCTTAGGGTAAGCCAGCTCGTGGGATGGGAGCTTGTGACGTAGTTTCAGAGGGAAGGCGGAGGCAGGCGGGCTCACGGACGCGGGTTTGTTGTCCCCGCCCATCACACATCCAGGCTCCGACTCTCGGCTGCTGTCATCGTGCTGCTGGTTGCTTTGGTTACTGACGGCGCTGTCGCGGCGGACCGTGAGCTGGAGCGGTTCGTCGTAGTTGTCGTCGCTGCTGTGAGAGGAGACTGGGGAGCGCACGGGGCGGGGCGGGGGTGCGTAGCTCTCGTAGCTGCGCGGGAAAAAGTGGGAGGGGTTACTACTGCCAGAGGCTGGGTTGAGGTGCGGGTTGGGATAAGTGTGGGGTGTGGCGTGATGGTGATGGTGGTGGTGGTGGCTGACTTGAGTGCTGGGGACGGGGTGGGGGCTGAGGGAGGGGTGGGGGTAGGGTGGGAAGCTGCCCACACTCCCCCGCCTCAGCATGGGTGTGTCCGGGAGGTCTAGATGCAGGCTGGGACGGCGCTCCACGCTACTGTTGCTGCGCTCCCGGGTTCGAACCTCGCCTTCCTCCATGGGCTCGTGTTTCAGAACATCCACGGGGAGTGGTGGGTGTGGGAGCTGATGGTGGTGGTGATGGTGGTGCTGTTGTTGCTGCTGCGGCCTGCTCGGCAGCTGGTGCCGGTGGTGAGACAGCCCTGAAGGCATCACAGATTTCACCCCCTCCTGGCCCGCGCGGGAGGATTCTGACATAAAGTATGGGAGCCCGGGGGAGGAGTCTGGATACATAGCCACGCCCATAGGCATCGCTCCGGCTACTGCTAGCAAAGGGGGCGGGGAGTTGTACGCCATATGGGAGGGGCCAGAAGGCTTGCTCGACATGCCCCTTACAGGAGAATGAAGCATTGCGGACTGACCCTGATTCTTCGTCCGGGGCGGAGAAACGTTAACACGACGTGAAGGGGGCGAGGCTTTCTCCTCAGACTCCTCCTCCACTATCACCGGCTGGCTCTCTGGCAGATTGAACTTCTTCTTCAAGGCTAGGAGTTCCCGCCTCAGTTTTGTGTTGTCGTCTTCCAGGGAGCAGATCCGGCCCTCTAGTGCCATGTCGTGCACTCGTCGCTTCTCGCGAGACTTGCGGGCTGACTCGTTGTTCTTCCTGCGACGTTCCCAGTACATTCCGTCCTTATGGTCATCAGGGAGCAGGTCTCGGTGTCTGTGACGAGGGAGAGAGAGGGGAGGGGGGCAGTGGAATACATCAATTTGAGAAATTGGTTGTAAATGTTATAAATATCCTTACCCCCTCCATCGACACTGCAGTAGGGCGCACAGTTAGCTGAGTTGATATCATGCTGGTCTAAGAAGCAGATGGCTGTGGTTCGAATAACCAACCGGGCTTGATGAACTTGGATTGTTTTTAGGGTTTTTTAAAGCTCTCCACCAATTCATTTGGCTCGGTTTTTACCGGAGATGGACATTAAATTCAGAGGCCAGGCCTCTGAAATAACCTTAATGTGTTGAAAGGTGCGATTAACCTACACAATCACTAAAGGCGATCAACAATTCTATTTGTGTTATTAGTCGTATCTTATTAGTTGTATAACCTAGCTATAGGTTTTCCAATTCGAGGCCCATGATCCCCCCCCCAATCGATACGGTTTAGACGATATAGGGATGGGTTGATTTGGTTCTGTCTGATATTGTAAACTTGCCCCTTTCTTAAGGAACTTATTTGGCCTTCTGCGCACATCCAGTGTTTCTTCTCTTCGTGGGCTACATGTCGGGTCGTGGGAGCCGTGATGGCATACACGGGAGGCGCTTCTAAGCTTCTTTTTTAAGAGAAAGGAGGCGAAATTTACTTTCACGAGAGAGAGAGAGAGAGAGAGAGAGAGAGAGAGAGAGAGT